TTCTTTCTTTTTTCTTTTTTTTCCCCAAGTGTGAGATTTAAGCCACTGGGCCTGGGACTCTAATTATGGTCAACTACGTGGGAGTCGAGTGATGTAACCATTACACTATCTGCTGGTCCCAATTCTATCCAATTTGTAAGAATTAAAGTTTGTTTCTCCCAACAGCTGAGAGAGAGAGATGTGATAGAAGAAACACAAAGTATGTTATAATAGATGTCCAAATACCTCAAACATTTCCACCATTATACAAATATTTTATTTGCATATTTTTTGCCAGTAGGGAGTTATCTTCATACTGTGTGCTTTGAAACATACTTGACAACCTAGAGAGTCTTACAGAATTTAGGAATAATTATTGTTAGAAGAAGTTTGACTTGGGATGAGCAGTTAGCATAATGGCTATGTCACTGAACTCCCGTGTAGTCGACTGCGGTTCGAGTCCCAGACGCAGTGGTTTAAACTCACGCCTGGTGCGTGTGTGTGCATGCCCAAGATTCTGAGAGGAGAATGGAGGAGAAGGGATTGTGGTGTGGCCATCCTCCTGGGGGGTGATTTCTCACTTTCTGTCTCTCTGTCTTTCTGGTGAGCGCGCGCGCCCTGTAGCAAAAACCTCTCCTAAGGAAAAAGAAGTTTGGCTTCAATTGAATTGACTCTGAATGTCACAAATCACTCAAATTATAAATGTTAAAGATCTGAAGCTCCGAAAGTGTAGGTATCAGAGACTGAGGGAGGGGAGTAGGTGGTAGAGGGTACATGGGAGGGACAAAGGGAAGAAACACTGAACAGAAAACAGAATGTAAAGTTCTCTGTGAAAAATGAAAAAACAGTAGTTTGGAAGATAAGCATTCAATCATTTTACTAGTAAAAAAAGTGAAGGGGTTTTATTTCCAAGTAGATTAAATTTGGCAGCTGATTTCTGAAAGAAAAAAAAAGTGAAGGGATTTTATTTCTCTCACTTAGCGCTTCTGTTTTGTCATGGAGCATTAGCTAAATTCAACCTAATTTGCACAAAATAGCACTAAACAACACATGACTTGAATAGTACTCGATAACCTAAGTTTACTTAACAGAACAGTTCTATTAAGGAGAAGGTCAGAGGTGTATAGGCACCAAATAAATGAAGACAGAAAGGGTGATATTATATTCAATAATTGAATAGAAAACTTTAATAGAGTAGAAAACAAAACTTTCAGTTGTATTTTTTATTGAGAGCTTTTTAATAATTAACTCTTAATATAAATGAAACAGTGTTTAGGATGGTTTTCATATTATGTTAGTCACTTAACTGGCTTGTAATAAACATGGCCAGAAAATGTACAGACAGGAATGTCTATTTTATTTTATCAATTTTCTTAGAGAAAATTTTGCTGTAGGTTGTGGAGAGACATAAACAGACAGAAAGTGAGAAATCACCCCCCCCACCCCAAGGATGTTGGCCATGCTTCAACCTCTTCTCTTCTATTCTCCTCTCTGGATTTTTGCCCGTGTGCACACACGCACACACTGGCCCAGTCTGAGTTTCAAGCTGCCGGATTTGGGACTCGAAATGTGGTCAGCCATGTGGGAGTCTAGCGATGTAATCATTATGCTGTCTGCTGGTTCTAGGAATTTCTTTTTTTTTAAAGGGAAAAAGAGAAGAGAGGACAAAATTAAAAAGGAGTGTAACATGGGAGCAGTTTTCTCTACTTTTTAAGCATTGGAGTAACCAGCTTTCTTATAATTTGATCAAAGGGTTGATTCAATTTTATGCATTATTTAGTTTCAGCTATCAATGCTCAAGTTTACAGATATATTTTCTACAACTTCAGTATGAATTAATGCGATACTTAGTAAAGCAATTTGACTGCTGAGTGGGGTTTGGGAGTAGGGGAGAGGGGCACAGAAATTGTTGCCCTTTTCAAATAATTCACAAATGCCCTAATTATATGTCAGATATGAAAGTCAAGACATTGTGACCTTCAAACCAACAAAAGACCTTTTCAAGTAAGCCATTTCCATGTACATTAATAAAGTGCGCAATGCCCTTCTACAGTTAAATAATGTATGGTTGTTATTTCATTGTATGTAAGCGCAAACCAAGGAGTTGTTTCACTATTGACAATTAAAAGTAATACTATAATAAAACAGAGTACAAATCCATTTAACTGACATCATCTTAAAATAGTGATCCAAAATTGTGTTTGTTCATTTCCATTCCATTTAACTAACGTGCAATTTTCCACAATGGAATGTATTTTGGATTTGAGCTGTAAAAACTACAACATGTTGAAGTGTATAATAACTAACAGATATTAGAAAAATTATTGTTAGAAAAATAATCTCCTTTTAGTCATGAAGATCTTGATGTATTTTGTAGATTAGAGAAAACATTGCCTTTGCGCAAAAATTCTCCAGTATGCTAGCAATGGCGACGTTGAATCAGAGTGAGGTTCAAGAGAAGGAGAAAGAATCCTACCCTCTTGCATGGCTCTTTTCATAGCGTAAAGAAAGTATTTATAAATATTAGACTTAGCTAATAGACAATAATTATTTTCAAAAGTAGTCATTTCACTGGAAAAGGGTGTAAGTTTCAAAAGCAATAATTTGAAATTTGAGTGTTACTAATGCTTGAATCAAATTGACAGCTGGAATGTCAAACAGTGCCTATGGAGTTGTAGAAAATCAGAAACAGGAAGGAGAATTATCTTGTATTTGTCCAGCATTGTAGCGTATTTCATACTGAATAAAACATGAATAAAAATACAGTCATGCTTAATGCAACTTAAGTATGTATAATAGACCTCTGGGAAATAATAAACCAATTACAAACTTAAAATAAACCACAATCATATGAGATTCCAAGAACCTATTAGCATTCAATCCATAGATTAACATTTTTCCCCCAGTCCCATAATAGCTTCTTATTATGGGTTAGACATTGATACCAAGAGACTGTATGAAGTTTACTGATTCACTCAGTAGTCTTCCCTTTTGTTTTAAACAATTTTCTAGGGTCCTTTGAGGTTATTTGTTTTAATATCAATAGATTCTCTGAATACTTTCATAATACAGATACCAATGACATTTATGAGAATGTTGGTCACAGGTCGTCAATGAATATATACATGTTCATCCTTTTCCAAGATAGCAAATTTTTCTGCATTTCCTTGATAATCTAATTTATTAAAGTAATTTAAAATATTTTGGATTGTTTTTAAGGTGGCAAATCTTGCTTGTTCCATGTCAACAAATGAAGATGGAATTAAAATTGTCAAAATTGCAGCCAATCACCTGGAAACCTTGTGTCCACAGGTAAGACAACTAAGGTGCTATCTCTTTTTCTTAAAATTACATGTAATTCTTCATGCTTTTTTTTTTCCTAGAGTGAGGTTTTTGCTATAAGTCATGTTTGCTCATGAAAGACACAGAAAAAGTGAGAAACCAGCTCCAAGGGGGATGATCATGCCACAGTCTCTTCTCCATTCTTCTTTTGGGATTTTTGTATACACACACATGTGCCTGGCATGAGTTTCAAGTCACTGGGTCTGGGACTCAAACCACAGTCAACCATGTGGGATCCCAGTGCCCCAACCACTACACCACCTGGTAGTCTGAATTCTTTATATTTTTATGCATCTATAAATATATTCAAATATCTATTTTAAACAGAGGACCAAATTATCCAAAATTAGATTTATTCTTTACTAAAAATAAGTGCATTCTTGAAGCTCATTTAGATAATTTTGAGAGATCTTAGTCTGAATTAAACATCTAGAAGTTTAAAAATTCACAAGAATCATTGAAAATGGATACATTGAATCCTGATAATTAAGTGTTATGCATTAACCTATCTTGATAAATTCCTTTCATCTCTAGTCAAGGAAGGAAGCAAAGAGGGCTTCTTTTATAAAAACTCTAAGAAAGAAAAATTCAATTTGTATTGCAAGCCCTAGAATATTATAACACAAAGGATTCATGTTTAGTAAAACCCCTTATTTTATAGATGAACAAATTGGGTACTAGAGCGACTACATATTACATGGGTAGTTGTTTTTTTTTTTTTTTTTAAAGAGAGAGATGTTTGCTATAGGGTACCTGTGCTTGCCCGAGTAACAGAGAGAAAAAGTGAGAAATCACCCCCCACTCCCCAAGGGGTAATGGCCAGTAATTGGGCATTCATCTCTCAGAGGGGATGGCCGCACAGCCTTCTCATCCATTCTCCTCTCAGGATTTTGGGCATGCACACACTCTTGACTGGCTTGAGTTTTAGGCCACCAAATCTGGATCTCAAAAGCATGGTCGGCTAGGTAGGAGTCCAGTGCCTTAACCACTATGCCACCTGCTGGTTCCATTCGAGTAGTTTTTTTTATAAACAAGCAGTCGTTTTGGGGGCCAAACAAGATGCCCACACAAACTTCACTAAAGGCATAGAAAACCTCTATGTAAGATTTTACAATTTGAAATGATGTAAACTATTTCTTTTGATAAATTGTTGAGCTTTGAAATACTTTATAGAAATATTTTCTGACTATAGATAAATTATGTGTTTTGACAGATTTAGATAGTAAAAACTTACTTCCAAATACTATGATTCCATAATATTAAATGGAAAATTAGATGAAAAAACACATTTTCTCGTCGCTTCTTTTCACTAAAAAGGAGAGTATGAACAAAAATTGTGCTCCATGACCTAATTGACATACCTGCCCTCATTAAATGGATGCACAGTGTGCCCTGTTCGTACAGTATTGATTCTCAAACAAGCCTGGCAGTGGAGAACAATGGTCACATCCCAAAGGCCTATATCAGAATTGCATGAAAGAAAGATGCATTGTCTAACTGATTTGTTTTATCTTCAGTCATTATTTACTTTGAAATTTCAAATAATATGAAAATTATGACTTTGACTTTTCTTTTTTGAAAAGAAGGTATGGGCTTGAAAAAAGTCAAGAGACATTTTCTTGTCGGTAATTCAGGAGTTTTTTTCTTTGTTTTAAACATTTATTTCTTTATCTATTTGTTTGTTGTGATTTTCAAGCTGTTTAGTCCCGGCCTCAAACTGTGATCAGCCTTGGAAGAATCTAGTGCCTTAACCACCATGCCACCTGCTGGCCTCCAAGAGTTTCTTAAATTTTGAAGAACAATAAATTGGGGGGGGGGAGGATTATTTCTATATGACTAGTCATGTTGGAGCTGCGATATACATAGGGACAATATTAAATTCCATGGTTTTAGAAGAAGTGGGAAATAACATGGATGCTTACTTCCTAATAAAGACTGGATGTGTTAAGGGTGTGAAATCTAACAGTAATTGGGAATTTCAAGTCTCTAGATATCCATTGAGATTCCCATTTCACTAAAGGTAGAGCATGTGTTAAAATTTTTATCTGTGTTGCTAACAATTTAATCTCTGAGAATATTGACGAAATAGGAAGGGAAATTGCTTCTCTAGACTTGATGTTGATTAAGAAGTAAGAACTGGCTGAAGAAGTGGAATCTAGAGGGCCCACAACGGAGATACCTCCCATGATGTCAATTTTCTATGGAAAAAATTCCCTCCGAAAGGAAATAGAGCAGAATACTGAGCTGAGGGCTCTAAAGCAGCTGAATTAATTACACTCTCATCAACAGTCTATGAGAGTTCTCTCCACATTGCAGAAAACACTTGATGCTGTCACTTTTTAAAATGCTTTTCAATGTGAAGAGTATTAAATGCAACTCGTAAGTTTTAATTTGTAATTTTCTGATTACTAGTCAGAATGTTTTTCAAACATTTATTATCGGCTTTCTAATTCTGTGACTTGCCCATATCTGTTGTTAATTTTTTGTTGGATTGTGTACATTTTCTTATGTAATTGATTTGCTTAGGTTTACTTACAATGTTTCTGTTGCATATGGCTTTTATTTTAACTTAAAAATATTTGTCAAAGAATGTGTATCCTCATTAGAGAGAGAGAGAGACAAAAAGAGAGAGGGAGAAGTCACTCCCTGATGGGGCGTAGTTACATTGTAATCCCTTCCCCACCATGTCTTCCTCCTTTTGGGGTTTTAGGCATGCACACACGTGCACCTGGCATGTTTTCCAAACCACTGGCTCTAGGATTGCAGTTGGTCATGTGGGACCCAGCCACCTTAGCCACCAGGCCATGAACTGGTGCTCTTTTAACTTTTTAAATAATATTTTAATGATAGAGAATTTTTTAAAAAAAGCTTTTATTTTTATTTACCTGTATTTATTTATTTGTTTTAATTTGATTGGAGGTTGGGGGGAGAGAGAGAGAGAGCAAGAAAGAGAGAGAGAGAGAGAAAGAGAGAGCGAGCAAGCCACCAGGCCCAGGCCTCGAACCATGGTCGGCCATGTGGGAGTCAAGCACCCTTAACCACCATGCCACCTGCCAGTCCCAATCATAGAGGATTTCAAGAAATTTAATGGAACATATGATTCATCTCTTAATTCTTTTCATAAATATTTATGGAATACCTCTTCTGTGCTCTGGTTTATGATTTGTTAAGAAATTTTGCTTATAAGAGCTTAACAATGCCTTGTTAAGAAATTTTACCAATAAGGGCTGGCTCTTTGGCACAGTGGTAATGTACTGCTCAAGAGAAGCTAGATTCTACATGGCAACCACATTTTTTTTTTAAGAGAATTTTTGTTATAGGGTGTATGCTCACTCAAGAGACAGAGTCAGAAAGTAAGAAATCCACCCCCACCCCAGAGGGGATGGCCAGCCATAATCCCTTCTCCTCCAGTCTCCTCTCAGGATTTTGGGCATGTGCTCTGTTATGAAAAAATAAGAGATTTTATGAACAAAAATATCATATAATTCTCATGTCACCTTTTTTTAAAAATTGAAGAGTTATTGAACATTTACATCTTTACACCTTCTAAAATTTTATTTCAAACATGAGGCAGGATTTTTATGAATATTTTCATTGTTTCATATATATTTGTATACATATAAATGTAACATATACACCAAATATAGCATATGTATACATGGTTACATAATGCATTATACATATATAATGTAATAATATCAAATACATATTTGTTTTTACTATCATTTCACATATAAATGTAGACTGATACACAAAGTGGAGCATGTTACAAGGTATATAGTTGCTGACTTTTCCATTCTGCTTTATTGGTCTATTTCCCCATCTCTGCAACAGTATCACAGTGTTTTAGTCATGGTTCTATAGTAAACTTTGCTATTTTGGCATATTGGCTCCTTTTTTCTTTTCTTTAAATTATTGCTATTATTCTTGACTTTTTGTTGTATAACTTTGTGACTCAATTTATCAATTGTCATGAAAAACATTAGAATTTTATCTTAAATGTTAAAATGTTACAAATTTTAGATTATTCTAGAGAATAATAACTCCTTTAAGATACTGAGTATTTCTGTCAACAAATATGTTATCGATATTCCCATAATCAGATCCTATATTTAAAAAGTATTCTTCAGGGAGCTCTTTAGCTTTTTATTATTTACTTTATTTCTGTGGCTTTAAATATCTTGTGTGTGGTGTTAACTTCCAAATTTTTCTCTCCATGCCAAACCTCTCCCCATGTGATACCAAACTCACATGCAATAATCACTTTCCCTTTCGGCATATTCACTTGGGAAACTAAGAGAAATCTAAGAGATAAAATAACCCAAATGGAACTTCTGATTACTGCATCCCAAAATAATTCTACTTCTCTTTCAGTCTTTCCAATTTTACTTAATTGCACAGCTATTCACCTAGTTACTCTAGTGAAAAACCTGGAGGGTTTCTTTTATTCATTCAGTATTTATTGAACATCTGCTATGTGGTAGGCACTGTTTATACAGAAGGAGGGAGGATGTTAACAGTAAAGAAAACAGACCATACACAAAACTTCTTGCTTCTCTGAAGTTTATATTCTAGTGATATTTCATGGCTGTTTTCCTGCTTAATACATTAACAAGTCCCATTAATTTCACCAAAAAAAATGTCAGTCCTGCATCTGTATACATCTCTCCATCTTCTCTTGTCCCCACCTGAACCTGTGCTACCATCATCTCTGTCTTGGACTACAAGATTTCATCAAAGAAATTGTTTCCTTAGCTTTTTACAGTATAATGCAAGTCGATCTGTGTGAAGATATTATTTGAGCTCAGTCCTCATGCTAAACAAAAGAAGGTGCTGATATACCTTAAAGGAAGAGAGCACTGGGGAATTACCAAGTGTAAACTCTATCAGGGGAGAAGCAGGTTATTGTATTTTGAAACAGAAATATACAGAGATCTAGTTAATAAAAAAGAAAATAGGATGCATAGGGA